CCCTTCTAACATGTCTCGAATCACGCGGCTCGGTGTGACAAGCCACGGGATTGAAGGGCACGAAAAGGGATTGAGGTTTCCCGTCGTTCACGAGAGAAGATTAAAGTCTTCCTCCTTACCTTCTTCTTTCTCCCTGCGGATCCTTTTCCTCGCCCTATCTGAAAAATTCAGTCCCGAATATCACCGAGTATTCGCGCACGTTTTTCGATCCCCGGGATCCGTCCCGGTCTGTTTCGAGGGAAAGCTGCTTTTGTCGACAAGATTGACTCGTTTATAAATAATGGATTCCGATATCGCGCCTACTTACTTTTATCGTCTCCTGTCAAAATTCGTATTTTCTTCGTCCGCTCTCCCCGCCCAAAATTGGATAATTTTAAATACATGAATATCACATCGTATTTAGATTGCTGCTTACTTGAATCTTTATGTAATTTATCCCTGGTTAAAAATTGATAACGTTGTGCTTTACAGTCGTAAATTATGAACGCGTGCTTCTGTGAATATTTCATGGATTAAATGGTATATACCGAGTCAGCTACTGAATGTTTATTAAATTATTAGTCAACTTGGTGATGATAATAAAGAATTTATTTTATTACATAATAATAAAGAGCGATACATTGCTGTATAGATAAATATTAAATAATCAAGAGAAATGCTTTACGCAAATTCGCCTACGTAATAACAAACGCAAAACGTATTTCCATCATTTCAAAAATATTGTCACATAATGCTTTAAATGTATAATTTATATTAAATATACTATTATGCTTTTGTTCTTATTATTATTGTACTATATCAAATATTGTTTCTTCAAAATGAACAAAGTTATAACGTAGAGATGACAGAAATATTACACGGCGTTAAACGATGCAATACAATAGTATTAAATCACCTGAAAAAGGAAAGATACAAATAAGACGTTTCATTAATATAACGCTAAACGCCGGTTGTCTTAAACGCAAGAAATTCAGTGAATCAAAATCTATCGAATAACAAGGAATCGCGTGAAATATTGAAACAATCAGCCAAGCATAGTCTTCATCCTTCACTCCCCTAGGTTATCATCAATCAAGAAACTCGACCATAAAACGAGCTTCCCTTTGATCCCGATTCAATCAGAAACACCTTTCGCTTCGTCAAGATTACCGTATCCCTGGGAGCACGAAATATTAATCTCCCTCCGATCAGAAAAATCTCTCAGAAGCTTTCAAATCGATCCGTCGATTCCCTTGGCAAATCGCCGGTTTCGCGTTATCCAAATCGTATTTGCCCTGTTAATTCGACGTTTGAAAGAAACGCTCGACCGTGTTCCGATCGTTTATCTCGTAATTCGTGGAGCGGCTTGGATTCGGTAGCGAAGAGGAAACTAGTTAAGAGGATCACCGAAAAAGGTGACGAGGCGGGCCACGAAATCAAGAAGCTGATTTGCCTCCCTCGCGACGATCGATCACCGGCTAATGCCCCGATAGGAGATCAAGGACGTAATGGCAGCCAGTAGACAGGATGATAAGGCGTTGCCTCGCCTTCCAGCTGTTCGACACGCATACCGACTTTTTGTTATTGAGGTTAGGATCGAGGACACGAAGGTCGTCGAGACAGGGGCTAATCCTATTGTAGGGGGGTATAATTGGATCGGTTCGCCTTCCCTCCCCTTCCCTTTCTTCTGTCCACTTCATTCGTTTCCCCTTGTAGCACCACGCTCGCACGAACAATCTAGTCTGGTGGCGACTCGTCTTTCGGCAGAACTGCTTAGCTCTTCGCCTAATCCTCGATATCCCTCGTAACTTCGTTAGACGACCTTTCAGGACCGTTCACGTAGCTCGGATTGACCGGCGAGTGCCGAGCATTCGTTGAAAAATCAATCTTCCTATGTCGAATCACTCTGGTGAGTTCTTTGTCCTATTTCTTCTCGCGTTTGCTTCGAGAATTGTTTTAAGCGAGCGGTGAATTTTTTAAGCAACGATCGATTCATTTTCAACTTTCTCCAAACTTTAACTTTTTTCTTCTTTCTTTTCTTTCGATAAATCGGAGGGGATGCTGCATTGATTTTCGCTTGTTTCAGTATCTATCGGCAAATATTTTGAAATACGTGTATTCGAAACTTATGAAAGCGATAACCACGAAAATGGTATTTTCTGTAATTCGGAAACTATTTACGAAAGTGACAAGCGTTTTAGCATAGGGGGAATCATGGAACAGCGTGGCGGTTTCAAGTGTCATTCGCAGATAATTTAATAATAAATATCAGGCAGCATAACTCGCACCGGTGGTCCCCGCATATTCGGAACGTTGGCCGCTACACGGTGAAACAAACCGTGTTATCAAAATAAAAGGATGATCGATGACCAGAGACGTTATACCGTTGAAAGATAGTATTGAACATTAATTATCCATTACGGACATTAGTGCTTCAACTAGAATGGATATTCCATTATTAATCTTGTTAACCGATCCGACCGCCCCGGTTGTATCGCGACGCGTAATTCATAAACTAAATCTCGTTTAATGAACGGGACCTAAGCGGGATTTTATAGTATCGCCTACGTCTACACGCTAGAACGAGAAATACGGTTTAACTATAAACACCGTTAGATAAGTTATTCTCTTTGCTCTCTGACCCGAATGCTTGATCACGGTCTCGTTACGCGGCTACTGTCGTCATAAAAGCGAAACGAATGTAACCCAATGTCGCAATAAATTGTTACAGAGTAACTGTTATACGATATATGTACTCGCTAGTGCAGCAGTAAATTCTCCGCGAAATTATCACTGACCGCTCATTCAAGTTCTACGAGCAAATCAAACAAACTGGATTTCGAACGTCGTTCGTTTGTTAAGTGGAAAATCGCGAAGTCGATGAACCGGAACACTCAATTATAACGCGCATAGCCTTACCTATGCATTCCTTCTCGTAATCTATTTTCAGATTAATATTTTTTGGATACTTGCGGTGCTTAATGGTGCATAATACGTACGATATGTAATGTTTTCCTTTAGTAGGTGTTACAAATATTCATCGGTTTTAGAATTGTTTAACTTTCTTATCGAGCCCAGTCTTTGGACTAATGTTACATCGTTGTATCGAATTTTTCTGGAATTAAATCGTTTTGTACGTATTTCAGGACGAGTGAATTTTTCACTAATTATAATTACGCTCATGATTATTGTATAATATTTGTTATAAATGGATAGGTTAAAGTATTTAGAGTGTTGTTGCTACGTGCGAGTATATTAAATTTTGAAAATTAAAATAATCTCTAATGATTTATCGAAGGTTCTAATTAAAGCTGTTCATAACGGCGCTAGCTTTGTGAATCTTTCAACTCGTCTAATTTCGAGCTGCCAACATGTTTACAGTATAAATTTCATGCATTCGAATTGACGCTTATTTTGATGACATGCGTGATAGTGCATAGTAGGACGCAGATGATTAATTAAAAATTATACATTTTAATGATTCTAAATTTTTCGTTATATCTAGAAATGAAGAATTTTAGGACTTCTATTATAAACTTGATATTATATTCAAAAATTCCACTTAATCGAACCAAAATTTCTCCAAAAATTAGAACGTATGGTATCCGATCACACGATCGTCGAGTTAACGAATCCGTAGGAGAACTCCATCTAGTTTTCCTCAGCAGCATCTGAAAATCTTTCTCAGCTCTGTGTTTTACTTTTCCGACTTGGTGTTTCCTCGAAGCACGGTGCGCGCTAAATCTCGGGTAACGATCAAAAAATAGCGAACAGGCATAGTGGTTCGTGATGGACAACGTAACAGACGAGAAAACACCGAATCGGGAAAGAAATCGTAAAATTAAAGGATCGTTGTCAGCACGCGAAGTGTGTAACGACGGGACCGCACGATTCCACGCGTAGAACTTGTACGCTATTATCGCGAACGTCATTGTAAATCTTGGTGAAAACGTTGAAGTAGGATGCCGACGGTACTTAAGGATGCGATATAAGGAAGCGACTCGAGGTATCTTCACGGAGTGTGGAACTGACTACTCGTTTAGCCTAAGCATCCTCATTAGATAATTCTCCGTTGGTCCATCAATTATGTTGTGGATCCCAGTCACCATGGGCGGTCCTTAGGGATCGACGATCTATGGACTAACGGGTCGGTGTTGAAAGTAATCGAATTAAAGAATTCTCGCGTCACGATCAGCCGTAAAACGCCCGGACGCTCGTTACTTGGTGTTTGCTTCATTTTCATTGTAATCAGACGGAGAAAATATCGTGTCGTTAGCGTGAAGCGTAGGTGTTTCTCAGAAACGTTTTTGCGTGTCTGAATATGGGTACCTTTAATTTGTATCGTTTTTTGAATTAGATACCTCTCCTTAAGGTAGAGTTTTGAATATCGATAAAAATGAATTAATTTGCTTTTGTCTTTTAAAAAGTCGCTCCGCGAATAATTAGTTTTCTAACGCGTGTCGAATGGAAATTATCTATCGCTAATTAGTTAATAATTAATTTTCTATTAAATTCCTTTACAAATATCACGACGATTTTCATTGTTTTGAATTCAGCATAAGGAATGATTCAATGGACATAATACGCACAATATACGTGCGATTTTAACGTACATTTCAATATATGACGTGTTAAAGAGATCAGGGTCTTTGTGCAAGCATATTATTGCGTTTGAAATACAATTTTGGTAATAAATTATGTCGTTTTACCTGATTAATAACCTAAACGTTATCATACCATTTTTGATCTTGTATCTTTACGGCTAGGAGGTTAATGACCGATAATAAATCCTGACAATGTCTTTCTACAAGTTTGTTACACAAACTGAATACTTGATTTCACTATATCGCTAATGAAATATAATTTATCAAGATTTACCTATGACTCCTTCCTTTCTTTTGCGTCTGTGAATAACGTAGTGAATGAACGAGGAAAAAGAAGTTCCTTATAATATGATTTTGTAACTAGCTATTAGCATAAATTAGCGTTTCTATATTCAACGCGAGTTTCTTTTGACCTAGAGGAGAAAATGAGCCGAGATTCCTATTACCATTATTATTTACCAGATTAATTGGATGATCTCCGACAGAGAAAAGGCAATAGTGTTTGTACACGTAGATAGTGTTTGTACTGTAGAATCGGGAAACTTTTTCAACACTTGTTTAAATTCTTGAAATTACTGAAATTATTGAAATTTCTCCAATAATTTTACATTGATATTAATTTAAAATGGGATAAAAAATTTCGTAAATGTATTGTTACGAAATTTAATATTGCGATTAATGTGACATCGAATATGGTATTAGTAAAGAAGGTTATTTTTAATGCAGTACATAAAACACGTAAACAACATTATTTAAATTGCATCAATAATCTTTTATTAATATTGATGCGAGAAAAGCAATTTGTTGCGTACATTTTGTAAAATACCAAATCTAATATGAGAGGACGACATTGATGTGACGTTAAATAAAGTAATTTTAAGAAAAAAAATTTTACTCTTCTTTTATTGTGAAACATCCCCGGAACCTCGTTGAAATCTTTAAACGCGCGTTGCCAGTTGGGAATTAAGTGAACTTGCTTAAATTCCTACTTTCCTTTTTCGAGGTATAAAACCGAGTCATAAAGTAAAGTATCGTGGTAGGCTACCGTTGCATGTAATCTAGCAATCGTGCAAACTTTTTATCGATTCGAATATGTGACAGTCTAACTATAGTTTAATAGTTCTGAGGTTCGCGTTCGCGAACTTTCTAATTATACCCTGACGACAAAATTTCGCAGCTACGCCGCGCCATTTAACGCGAGTTACGTTCAAATTCGCAACAAATTTCGCCGTAACAAACGACGCTAGTGTTAACTTTTGCAAAACGGCCGTAGTTCCTGCGTAACGTATGATAATTTGCAAACACGATTATTCCAAATGCTGCTTTAGATATAATGGAGATACAATTTTCTTATCAAACATCGACTCTCTGTTGCGTATCAAATATTACAAGACTTTAATGGAATTTATTTGACTCTTATATCTGTTGGAAAATTTTGTTAAAAATGAATATATAACGGATATCAAGATTGAACATTTATTGAGGAACAGTGGGTTATCAATCGAGTTGTATCCGTCGTTTAAATAGTCAATTTTACTCTGGCTGGAGTGATCAATCAATTAAAATGTCGGCTCTATCTTTTTTCATATCCGAATTAGTTCAGCAGTACTGCTGATAATATAAAAGAGGATTATTTTTGTTGATGAAAAGTAATAATTTTATAATCATTTCCATCGAATAATTTTATCACGCTATTGTTGGGCTGTCAGAACTGAAAATAATTATGATCTTGTGTGTTTAATATTTCAATATCACTTTACCATTTTATCAGTTTTGGAAATTCAGAGTAAGCTAATTCTAAGAAATTTGCTTAATTATTCATAATGTTGTGAGAGTTATAACCCCAACATTTGGTAAAATAATATGTTTTGTTAAATTTTGTAGAATATTCTTTCTTCGATCTATCGTTTCAATAATATCAAACATGTAACGTGTTCTTGAAACTAGAACCAGATCGCTTTTCCTCTACCATATTTTGAATTATCGTTATATTCGATGATAATACATTGGAAATAATATTCTTATGAAACGTAATCGTTACATCGATTATTTAATATCTCTGAATATCTCCACGCTTACATTTATTATAAGACGTTGTTATATTAGGAACACGCATAATTAATATATATCGTATCTGAATATTTATCGAGAAAGAAGGGAAAAACGTAAATATATTATTTACGAGTGGAACGATTCTCGTGAGGAGAATTTTCAGCTTCGTACGAGACGTTCGCAGCCCGTTTAAGCAGCCGATTACAATGTCTTCGGATGCTCGTCTCGTCATATTTTATCAGGCGAGGCAAAAAGGGTAGACGCCGATCGATCCAAATAATATCTGATTATCATACCAATGCCTCGACATAAGGCCGTGGCTCGATTAGCCGCGGGCGGCGCGTTTACGTATAAATTATTCGTCACTGCCGTAATTATTTCTACCACGATCGTGCGTGTCGCTTCCACGAAGGCTGATTTGAATATTTCGAAAGTGGTCTTTCGTTTAGACGACGGACACGTAGTTATTAAAGTTATACCTTCGCCCGTGTCGGTGGATACCATGGAAAATAAAAAAAGGAACACGGGAATAAATTACAGAGTACAGGGCGCGGATCCTTGGTGGCGGCATGTAAAGAATTTAAATTGTTCAATTGCTTGCGCGTTTCACAATCAAAGAAAACTCCCTCCCCCGTGAGCGTCACAAGCGTTTAATCGCCGATGAAGAATCGCCTGAATAATCAATCTCGTTCGTTCGATGCTCGTCGGCCGATAAATATCTGCTGGCACGTTTAACGAAATGCGGGTGGTTGCCTTGTTAATTGTCGGTTGAACGACATGAAAATCGATTGGCTTGTTATTCGGTAGGAATTTTTATGTTTCAGCAAGTATCTGTATTCTTGATTGAAAATTAATCGAATCGCCCCTTAACCCTTTGAGTAGCGAGAAACTCTTTCAGAATATTTTTTATCGTATGAGAAAAAATTGTTTTTTTTTAGTAATTGTCGATAATAGGAATAAACTTCTTCGGGCGATCTTTTAAAAGAAATTTAATTAAAATTTGATTAAAATTTTACCGAAAATAAATATGCTTTTGTCGTTTAATTAATTAATATCTTACAATTAGGTCGGTAGAGATTAAATTTGAAGTCAAATCGAAAAAGTCAAGCTACAAATAGGTTAATTTTAGCCTTGTCAAATGTAAATATGATGTAGTTTATTTTGGAGAGAATTAACCTGACATGTATAAAATAGAGATCATTAAGCAAGGGGATTGTTATATCGAAGAGATTGGCAATTCGAGTGACGAGTTAACTCCTTGGTTAACAGGTTAATACTTACGTATTATGCAATTGAAGAAATCTTGGAATTTTCCGTACGTGTCGTGTGTTTTATTACAACGAGTAGGGCTCGTTAAAGTAATGTTGCGTGATTGGCTTCTGTATGTACATGTACGTATCTCTCTTCGGGCGAACATATTTTTCACGCTTCGTAAGTAAGTTAAATCGTTTGAAATCTGAGAAAATTCCGTGATACTTATCGGTATTTCTATTACATTATTTAACAGAACTTTCAATAAAAATAAAGCTTCAATGGAAAGGATTTGAGGGGTTAATAAAGTATCATTTTCGTTGATATGAAAATAAAATGAGAAGAGCCATGCGAAACTCTGCAGCAATAATCTTATACATACATGTTAATTAAAAATAATATTCTGTAATTGAAAGATCAATTCGAAATCTCCATTTAACTGTAAATTAATTAATATTACATATTTATAGACAATCAATTACAGATTTCGTAATGAATTATATAAATTTATATTTAATTATAAATTACTAATTCATGCCTGTAAATGAAATCCCATTAATTATCATCATTCGTATCGAAGTAGAAGTTCCCATAGAATCTTTCATAAATTACTCCCTTAACCAGAATAACGCAATCTAATCAAAAACAAAAATTCTACGCAAAATATATACCGCACGAGAAATGTATTTTTAGAACTTTTACGTGGGATGTATATTTCACGATAACAAAATAATGTCGCACGTTGCCGTTAATCGACCGCTAAATTTCTATTTGTACGCTGGACGAAATGGAAACGAGGATGATTATCGGTTACATGGAAACGAAAGGGAAATCGTGGTGCGAAATTGGCGAATTTTCATATTTCTGGATCAGTGCGGCCGGATTGAAACCGAACGGCTCTACGATCAATGCGTCGAGCGTTTGCGCGCTCGCGTTGATACAGGCGACACAGTTAAAATCGCATTATGCTAATTTTCATTTTACATTCTGGTAATTAATTAAACATTCACGCGATCCAAAATACCGTGGATATCCGCGTGAGCTCCGGTATTTGGCGATCTTTTTCCCCGGCGATCTCTCCGCTGAAATTCGCTGCTCGATAAAATCGACCGTCGTTTCTCTCTCGCTACGCCACATCCCAGCCGTTCAACTCTGTAATTAATGAAACTGTATCCACGCGGTCGTCGTAATAATATCGTTGCAAAATAGACAGCCGAGCTTTCATGGGACATGTTTCGAATATTTGCCGCGTCTATCAAACGTGCTTCCGAGGTTTATTTATGCGACAGTTCATTAACGTCGCCGTATATTTTTACAGGTTTTTCACGTGCTTCGTGGTTTCTTCTTACGGTGTAACACTCGACCGACAAAAAGCTTAGAACTACATAATAAGGTTTTATGTAGGAAATTTGAACTTTCATCGGTGATTGTCGCGATTGATCACAGTTTCACCGCGAATGTTTGTGCAAATTCATATTTTCGGAAAAGGATTCTATACAGATAAAATTCATATAGATAGATATTTTTTATGAAGCATTTGAAACTTTATTCGAGTTTATTTCAGTTTATTTGGTTTACTCGTATATTTACAATTTTTTTTATGTAGAAATGTATTCCGCCTTGTAAATATTACGTCGAGCACTTTACTTTAGATATTTTGTGTATTTTTCTACATCAGATATTTTATATTCCGTATTCTTTCATATATTTAAACTGCCCAGAAATGCACAAACATTCGCAATTTAATGATAACATACAGCGTATTATGAAAGAGTTGTACGTTGTAATTAAAACATAGTTTGCACTATTTATTCAGCTGTTTTACAATACAAATTGTTTGACATTCATTAATATGTTATCCTCGTGCACCTGTAATCATATTGCCTTCTTCTGTATGCTGTATACCTTCGAACAAATTATTCCAAAGAATCTTAAGATATTATATTCTAAGCTTTTTATATCTATTACACATTTCTTTTCTTAAAGTATAGTTAAAATATAGTTCAGAATTTCAGTAACGTTTCGACAAATAACTACTTTTAAAGACTACTGACTACTGACAATGTATCAATAAATTGGAGGAAAATTTATAAGAGAACTCAAAGATAATATACGATACAACTAT